CCTGGGGCTGTGGCAGAGCTACGGAGCAGGGACGTGGGATTCCCCAAGGGCCCCTGTGGCTCCTGGTCTGGAACTCAGGGTGAGACTCGCTGCGGGGAGCGTTTTCCTCCAACTGCCCAGGTGCGGGCGCGACAGGTCAGAGACTACAGGCTTGGCCAAGAGAAGATGTGGAAGCAAGAGAACCAAGGGAGGTGAAGGTGAGTTCAAGGGCATGACTGGACCTGGGATTAAGGCCAGAGGACAAGCCTGCGAGGGGTGAGGTGAGGGATGTAGGGGGGGGGTGGTGAGGTGAGGGATGGTGAAGTGAGGGATGGGGGTCAGGAAATCGGAGGGAGTGAGCTGGACAGACAGGAGGTGGAGGCCGAGTGGGATGCTGCAAGGTCTGGGGAGTGGCCATGGAGTGGGGACAAAGCGGGGCAGGATGTTGGAGGAGGGGAGGCCAAGGGTGTGGGAAGGATCACGGACCCCAGAGTCACCAGGCATGGACACAGGAGCAGTGTGGGAGAGAGTGGCTGTGACCCAGGAACCAAAATCTCCCCGGGGCGAGGGGGCCCATGGATACCCACAATGGGGGTGGGTGTGTGTGTGAGACAGCAGGTGTTGTGTTCCTCCAACTGGGGGCTCCGGAGGGAGGGAGGGAGGAGAAGGGTCTGCAAGGGGCCACAAGAGCATCTCCAGGAGTGAGGGAAATGCCCAGCAGGGGGCACTGGGTCCTCGGAGGACGAGAGACTCAGGGCAGGGCTGGTGGACACTGTCCAGGGACCCACCCCGGAGCTCCCGATGGGCTGGGGAGGCCCGAGAATCTGCATTCCCAGCTAGTTCCCGGTGACCTCATGCTGCTGGCCTGGGGCTCAGCTGTGACCACAGCGTTAGTGCAGGAAGTGAGCGGTCACTCAGCAGAGGTGGAGGATCCAGGGATTCCGCCGGGATGGGCCGTGAGGAAATGCAGCGGCCAGCCCCACACGAGAGCCAGGGAACAGAAGGGCGGCAGGGGTGGCCTGTTGCCTCTTGACAGGATACATATTGCATGGATCAAATACTGGTAATAAGGTGAAGATTCGTGATGTGAACTTTTAAGAGCAAGCCCGGGGCTGCAGAGACGTCTCCTCCCTGCCCCGCGGGGGCTGCGCCCCTAGATCCCGGCGGGGGTTCTGGGAAAGGTCGATCTGGCTGGGAGAGAAATCACCAGCTCTGGCCACCAGCCGGCGCCCAAGGACCACGGTGGGTTGTATGCGGAGGGGGGTTCCGAGGTGTGGGCGGGGGCAGTAGGGGCGTGTCTGAGCCCCCAAACTCAGCACGGCGACATAATCTGGGTACCCTCCAGGGCCGAGACGACAAGCCCCCAGGTCCCTGGGACCCTCCAGCAAGGTACCAAGAGCCTTTGGTGTGTCTGGCCCTGGGCTCAGAAGGGGCTTGGGGAAGGGTCACCTCCAAGAACACCTGGTGAGGCTGGGGGGGCAAAGGCCTGGGGTGGCAGCAGGACTGGCCAGTTGGTCTGACAGACAAAAAGATGAGGCTAGCTCTGGCCATCCCCCTCCCTTCTGACCTCAGGCCCAGAGAGGGCAGCACTGGCTGAAGCCACCACCAGGGTCTGGCCTCTGGCACCTCAGAGCTCATGGAAAGCCCTGGTCTCCTGCTGGTGGGTGGGCCAAGTCGGGGGAGGGCCATGGAGATCCAGCATCGCCATCCTACCTCCAGCCCTACAGCCTTCCAGGCTCCCTGACCGGCCCCCCATGCGCACCTTTGCCCGGGCTGTGCTAGGTCCTGGGGCACCCTCCTCTCCCCACTCCACCTCCACAGAGCCTTCCTACTCCAGCTCCAATGCGCCTCTTCCGGGAAGTCAGCCATGATGGCCTCAGTTGAAGGAAGTTTGTTTCAACTGAGCAGGGGGCCACCCCCCCGCCGACCCCTCTCAGCTCCTCCCAGACCCCCTCACCGGCCTGGCAGCACGGAAGCGGGGGGTTGGGGGAGCACTGCCACCCTCGCTGAGCACCCAGCAGCCCTATGGTTACGGTTTTACTTCTTATTTCTGAAAGCCCAGGATATGGGTTGGGGGTGACGATGCCACCAGAAGGTGGGGCACAGCTGCCCCAGACATGCCTCAGGGAGAAGTGAGGTCCCCCTTCTGCTCCATGACTCATCCTCCCAGGGAAGGCCCCCTTCCTCACACCCCTGAGGGCAGCAGATGGAAGAAACCAGGCTGCCCAGTTCCCCTAAAACCCCTCCTGGACCTGCTTCCCCTTCTGAGGAGGGAGAACTTCCCTGCCTCCCTCAGTGCTTATTTAGAAGAGGAAAGGGCCCCAGGCTGATGGCCCCTGCTCCTCAGTGACCCCTCCCAGGCCCTGACATTTATCCCCATTTCTTAGACGGAGGTCAAGGCTGGGGGAGGGGCAGGGCTTCCTCCCCACCCAGCCCCAGGCTCCTCTGCTCTGCTGTCCCCGCTCAGTGCCCCCACCCCACGCTGGGACAGTAGGGGATGGCCCCAACTCTGATGCGACTCCACCTGCGGGGCAGCACAGCCACACCTGTGCCCCGGGGCCCACCAGCTCTGTGCTGAGGCCGTGCCAGCTGCCTGAGGCGGCACTGGGGCCCTGGGTCTACCCTCAGGCCAGGGCAGAAGGCTCCTCTGACTCACCCGGGCAGGAAGGAGGCCCACCGCCTCTGCCCGCACGCGGCCGCAGTTCCGCTCTGGCTCCTCCCAGCTCATTTTCGGCTTCCTCGTCCGTAGGATGGGCCCTTCGCCATCCGATGAGGTGTGGTCACCGCCTCTGCCCAGCCTGGCACACGGTGGGTGCCAGGGGTGACGGTAGCCGAGTCTGGGGGCGCCCCCCAGATGGGGGCCAGGCTGGGTGACGGTGAGGGGCCCCCCTTCCCTCCCACTGTCCCAGTCACTGCCCACCCCCCCCCCGCCCCGGGCAGCTGCTCTGAGGCCTTCTGGAAACCACTCTGCTGACTCAGGGCTGTGCAAGGCCGAGGTGGGGTCAGGCCCTGGCCAGTCAGCCCCCAGGCCAGGGCAGCCACCAGCAAGGGCTGTGAGGAAGGGGGCCCTCCCCAGCCAGCCCTGTTTAGGGGTGCTGAGTGTGAGCATGTGTCTAGTGGGGGTGGGGCTGGCACTCTGCCCCCAGCAGGTCAGCAGTGGGGAAGGGAGGCACCTTTCAAATGACTTGGCTTTCTGGTGTGTTGCTAAGGCTAATTTCAGAGCAGAGTGGGGGGCGTGGAGGTCAGGGGGAACCTGGAGGCCCGGCCCACAGAGCAGGTACCTGCAGGGGCAGCTGGGGCCCAGGAGCCCAGCAGAGCCAGCCCCAGGGCGGTGGAGGCTCAGTTGGAGGAAGAGGAAGTGAGGGCTGCCTCGCGGCTGCCAGGGCAGTGGTGGGGGGTTCCCCGGCTGGGCTGGAGCCCCCCCTACTCCAGCTTACCCGCAAAGGCTTGTTTGAGGAAGAAAGGGCACCGAGGAGCTGCTTTCTTTAGAAAACAAGGGCAGTGTGACTCCTCGCCCCACCTCCCAGGACCTGGCCAGGTGGGGTGGGGGCCCAGCCCGAGGTCGATGTGGGCATCAAGCCCTTTCACAGAGGAGGGGTCAACGGCAGCATCACCAGCATTAAAGAGGGGCGGCCGGGATCCTGCCTGGCCTCAGTTTGAGCTCCTCACCACCTTACCAGCCCAGCTGCCTGAGCTTGAGCGTCACCCACTCCAAGCCTCAGTTTCCCCATCTGCAAAATGGAACAAGGATATGGCCTCCGTGGGCTTGTGATGGGGATGAAGCCAGATAAGGAGGTTTCTGGGCCAAGCTGGCACAGGCTGGGGCTCCAGAGCCTCAGGGCTGCTCCCCTGGCTGGGACCCCCTGACTGCAATCTTGGGCACCCTGGGCTGGCCACGCCTCTCAGGCACCTAAGTAGCTATTTTCATCCCAGGTTCCCTTCCATGAGAGTTGGCTTGGGGTGTCCTCTACCTACCTCCCCCATGTGAATGCAAACAAGTCCCCAGTCCCCCCTGCAGCACCTCTGATGGACCCCCAGCTCAGGCCCAACTTCCAGCCGAGACCAGGATCCCCGGGTTGCCCCAAAGAGCACCTTTATTCACAGCAAAAGACGTCACCATAGCAACCACACTCCAATTCCCTGAGAACTTTTCCCTTACATTTGCTTTCCTAGCTATGTCTTTGCAGAAAGAAAAACAGAAGACAAAACACACCCCACGGGCCAGGTGTGCCAGCTGGGCCGGCGGGAGACAGGTACGAGGCAGGAGGGCGGCCGAGAGTGCAGGTGCCACGGCGACATAAATACACAGAGTGTTAGACGCTTCCATCGGCTTTAGCAACAAAGGTTATCCCGAGTTTGGCTTCTGCTTTTTCTGATCCACAGAAAAGATAAAATAACACCCTCCCCCACCCCCCTGAAAACAAAGACAAAAACATCCTACTTTTTACCCACCCCCTCTCGAAAAACAAGCACAGTAAAAAAATACTGTCACGATATTTACAGACACGCCCACTATGGGCGACTTTCTCTCTACTTTGGAGAGGAGATAAAACGCTCAGCTCTGACTCCCTCTCACGGGGAGACAAAGGGAAGACGTGGGAGAGGGCCCAGGAGGGCTGGGAGCGGGGCCACTGGGCACCCAGCCACAGAGCCCCTGGGGCTTAATGGGGCCGCTGGCCCTGGGCAGGGGCCACTGTTCCTCTGAGCCACGGTGGCCCGCTGAGCTCAGTGTGGGAAGCACAGCTCAGTCGTCCTGGGGGCTCTGAGGCAGGGGTGCCAGGATCCCAGGGTGCAGGTGCGCCCAGCACGGGTCCTGCGCTCAGCAGAAAGGAAAAGGCCCTGCACATCCCTGCAGAGCAGCCTCTGATCCCCATGCTGCCCAAAGACCTCCAAATAAACGCAATAATGAAACTGCCCTCAGAGTGACCTCTGACATACAAATCCTGCCAGGGCCTGGGCTCCAGAGCGCACTACCCCACGGAACACAGAAAGACAGACGAGTGGCACTTTGCTGGCTCCTCAGCAGAGCAGAACTGCCCAGCAGTCTGCTACACGGTTGGGCGCACAGTACACACACACACGCAGGCACAGCCCTGGGGGAGCCTCGAATGCCAAGGCCAGGGCCACACAACAGGGTCCCCAGGCCCTTTGGATACCAGGGGCACCCGGGGACGGGGTCTTAGCCGTGGCTGCTAGAAGATGGCGGTGCGGGGACACCAGGGTGTGTCCGGGTACAAGTGGCAGTGGATGGAGCGGAACCTGTGAGGACAGAGGGGGGGCTGGTCCGTGTGGGGTGGGGGTGCTGAGCACCCATCTTCAGACCCACAGCACCGGAGGGGCCCCACGCCACCCTGAGCAGGGCTCCTGGGGACTGTCTATAGTGACCCCCAGCTCTAGCTCTGCCAGCCCCGCCCCTACCTGGGCCTCAGTTTCCTCACCTGGATGGGTCAGCCTCCACTGAGAAGGGCCCCTTCACGTGGACGGCATTCCGCTTGTTTTCAAACATGCCGTAGCTCAGGGTCACCTGCAGGGAGAGGGGCCCAGTGATGCTAGGAGGGGCCCCAACGCCCCCGGCTCTGCCCAAGGCTGCCCATGTGGCTCTGAATGAGGGAACAGCCTTGCCTTCGGCCCTCCCTCAAACCAAGAAGGAAGGTCCATTGGCCACGCTGTACCTCCCCCACCTGCGCTGCACACCCCAGGAATAAAGTCCAAAGTGGGGGCTTCAGCTGGGCTGGTAGCATTACCAGCCGCAGATGAGAGAATATCTACTGAGGCAGGACAAGACCCGAAACAGACAGAGCAGGTGGGTTGCACTGAAGACAAAGATGGGAAGGATGGACAACAGGATTTGAGCGGGGTCCGTGTTGGTGGGGGGACTTGGGGTCTGGGTGGCAGCCAACAGCAGGGCCCTTCCTGACCTCCCTGTTTAAAAGAGTGACCCTACCCTCCACTCCCTCCTCCCCCCAACCCACTCCATTCCTCTCTAGGATTTGCCCCTGGCCTCCTCTCCCAGCAGCTCTCCTCTGGGCTCTCCTCTGTCCACACTCCCTTCCGGGCCCCCAGGGGAGGCGCACCTGCTCGTGGAGCTCCGAGGCAGGCACCTGCTGCAGGTTCTCCAGGTGGGAGTGGAAGAGCCCGCTGCGGATGAGGGGCACGCCCAGCAGGGCCTCCACGATGTAGCCGATGGTGCAGTCGTCCGGCAGCCGGATCCGCTCGGCTGTGCTCATAAAGTGGCCCCCGCTGCGGGAGGGAAGGGATGAATGGATGAGCAGAGGTGGGAGCTGGCTGCCCACTGGGAGCTGGGCAGGACCCTGCCAGGCAGAGTGTTGCACAGAGCAAAGAAGCCAGGCTCAGAGAGAAGGTGGATGTGCCCCCATGGAGCAGGGTGCAGACCACGTCTGTGTCCCTAACAAGTTCTCCTGCCCGCAGCTCCCTCCCTCCCTGAGCCCCAGCATAGCACCCTCCACTCTCCCAGCTTGAGGATTCTCTGAGTGGGGAGGGCCGAAGGCAAGAAAGGGGTCCTGCCCAATGGTGCCCGGGCCTGGGTGCTAACTACACCTGGTGCCCGGTAGGCAGAAATGGCTGGTGGTGGGGCACGACTTGACCGGTCCAGGCATATGAGATTGTGGATACCCGCTGCTGGGAAGATGAACCCAGCCAGGCCTCACTCAGGGGGACCTTGGGACCTAGGGCAACCTAGCTGGTGGGTCAGCCTCACCTGTGCCCCAGAACACTCACCTGGCCCACGGGCTCATCTTCAGGGCCAGCCCACGGCTGATGCAGAAGCCAGCCCCACCGGTGGCAAACCAGAAATGGACAGGACGCTGCAGGAGAGGGGAACATCTTGAGACCCCCGCCCCAAGCTGCAAGGACACTTTCAGCTTCCTCCCACTCAGCTCAGGTATGTGTGGGTGGAACGCTCACCATCTTGTTCTCGCTGACCCTCTCCGTGGCCTGAATGGGCCTGTCCAGGCTGGGCTTGCCGATGTAAACGTCCTGCGTGTGCGGGTAGCTGGCCAGCAGCCGCAGCAAGGCCCGCACGTTCACGTAGTTGTCATCGTCCACGTGGCAGAACCACCTGGGGGCGAGGCAGGGCCATCAGGAGGGCGTGCCAGGGGTGGGTACTGCCAGGGCAGGTGCCTGGAGCTGGGGACGTTCCTTGGGCCCCAGCCAGAGGCCAACACTCACTTCCTCCCCGAGTCGATGAAACGGTCGTACTCCACGGCCATCTTGCAGGACAGGGCCTGGCGGCTGTGGGCAGCCGAGCAGTTGGTATTGACCACGTTGCCTGTGAACAAGGGGAGGGGGCTGTAAGTGGGTCCGAGCTGGCTCAGAGAGGGCAGCCTGGCCTGGAGTTACCCAGCAGGCCCTGTGAGACAGAGCAGGATAGAGTAGGTGGCTGTCTGTCCCAAGGCGCCCTGGGTTCAGGCTGTGCCCTGCAGTGGCCTCTCCCCTCAGCCCCCTCCCCAGAGCAGGACACAAGGCCTGGTGCCTGCCCCCCCATCCCAACCCCTTCCCCAGGCGGCCCCGCCCCGCCCCGGCCCATTCAGGCAGCTTTTTCCCAGCACCGGCCACCTGTTGCCGCCACATCAGCTCAAAGGGCCCGGGGAGCTGAAAGGGCCTCATTTGCATGAGAATTGGGGGGGCCGAGTGGTGGGGCGGGGCCTTGAGCAAACCCGTTGAGTAAACTGCCCTCCCAGGCCCGTGGCCTCCGTGACCTCTCCGGAGGGGCGGGGGTGGGAGGGTGGAGAGGAGGGTTTCCTCCTGGGAGTGGAGCCCCTTCGCCTCCCCAAGTCCAGGGCTCACCCGTGCGCCTGGCCAGGGCCTCATCTTCCCCGTCGGTGAAAATGAATGTCTGGAAGAAGAAACACGGCCTTGAGCTGGCAGCCCTGTGTCCCCCACCCCCGGGCCACAGCGGGGGTCCAGGGCTGGGCATCCTGCGGTTTCAGCAGCTACAGCTCAGTCCTGCCCACTCCCCTCCCTTCTCTGGGCCTCAGTTTCCCCCTGTGCACAGAGTGAGGCTCAAGTGCTGCGCCCGAGTGGAAGCAGGGCTGGGGCTCATGCAGACCCTACCCCCCATGTCGACAGCTGCGCCCAAGGTCACCTGGCAGCTGTGCCGGCACGAGCCAGGTGGGGCGCCCCGCCCACCCGCCAGGTAACCGGCGCCCGCCTGCCCCGCGCACCTGGTGGGGCACACACCCTTATTGACACAGCGCCCGGCCTGCGGGAGGGGGCAGAGGGCGGAGCGGGGACAGGCAGAGGAGGTCGGCTCTGGGAAGCCAAGTCTCAATCAGCCGGGGACAAAGGCTTCTGCTGGGCGGCTGCCAAGCCCTGGCGGACAAAGGGCCCGGAGGGAGGATGAATCACCAGGCATTGTCCGCCAGCTTTGTCCGGGCCGCGCGCGCCGCGAGGGGCGCCGGGCCGGCCTTAACTCGGCTGCCTTAAGCGGGAGTGGCCGCGCTGCCCATTACCATACAGCTGGCCTGGTTAACTGGGCCAGGCTGGGCGCAAGGTCCGGCGGGCAGGGGTGCAGCCACAGCACTGCGGTCCTCCGGGCCAGGCCTTCACGCTGGGTCCACGCACCCCCGGCTGTGTGACCAGCCGGGCAGGTCACCTTCTCTGAGCCAAAGCCACACTGCTGTTCTATGGAGATGCCCACGGTCAGCAGGGTTGAGGCAGGAAGTCTGACATGGCCCAGCCCACAGATCGGTGCCCCGAGCAGCCATGGGGCCCGGTACCCCCCTCCTGCTGCTGGGGCGGGTGGGCGAGGAAACCCGGGCTCCTCACAGACAGGCCTTGCCCAAGGCCACATCAAGGCTCCACCTTGCCGGCATGGGGCCACCCCTGCCAGGATCGCTCCGAGGAAGGGGGGCCACAGGGCGGGGCCAGGAGCTGCCGGCGCCCGCCTGGGCCCGTCTGCACACGGGGAGGAATGTTCCTTCCTCTGCCGCCCGCCCAGCGCGTGCCGCCGGGCGCACCCAGGCACGGCTGAGTGCAAAGCCTGAGCGGGGGTGGATGGGGGTGGGGGGTGCTCTGAGCACAGGCAGCAGGAGACCCCCGCCTCCATGCCCACCAGGCCTCAGTTTCCTTCTGTGTGCAAACGGGTCCAAGGGAGGATCTAGCATGTGCAGGCGTGGCACCCAAGGACCTGGGAGACCCACATGGGGTGCCCACCCTCACCTGGGCGGCCTCAGCTCCTTGCCCAGCCTGACCCCAGACCCGGGCACACACTCAGGTGAGGCCACGAGCTGTGGGTCACAGGCTTAGAGCTAAGGAGGGTGGGAGGTTCCACACAGGAGGCCCTCCTTCCGGAGCCCAGTGGACACCCCAGGGCAGCCCGCACGCACAGACTCGCACCCAGCCTCCAGCCCGCTCCCCAGCATCTCAGCCCAGGAATGCCGTGGGAGGCTGAGGCCGGCCGGTGCAGACGCGCCGCTGCTGCCGCTGGATTAAAAGGAAAATGCTTTCTTAATGAGATCAAGCGAGGCCTGTTCTCCCGCGCTTTGGTGGTGCCCTAAAAACCCAGCCCAAGGCTACGGAGATTAAAGTCACCTTTGTTCAGATTCAAGTCACCTTTGTTCGGCTGGGGGGAGCAAGGCCGACCGCCCAGAGGGAGTGCTGTGGAGGGTGGGGCTGTGGGGGTGTGAGGGTGCCGGGCCTCCCGCCTCCCCACATCAGAGCAACCGGGAGAGGAAGGGACGGGCTGCCCGGGTGGGCCTCGCCTGCCGCTCAGAGCCTCAGCTTCCCTCTCTGTACAGTGGGCATGACAAGAGCTCACGGGTGCCCAGAGCAAAGCGCAGACACTGACTCTCTTCTTTCATCTCCCTAACGGCCCTGGGAGGCAGGCACCGGTACTACCCGAGTCGGGAAACTGAGGCCCAGAGAAGGGCAGCCCCCTGCCTGTGGTCATACCCTGGGGCAGAGGGGATGCTGGTCCAGCCTGGCCCTGCCTTCCAGGGACAGAGACCCCCCCCAGGCCCCCTCCCCACTTCCCTGACGACGAGGCTGGAGGAGGAAGAGCAGGGCAGCCAGGGCAGCAGGACTGGCTGGGGGCAGGCCGGGGGACACCCACAGGAAGCGGCATTGTTCCTGGAGCTGCGATTCAAAGAAACACAGGATGCCAAGCTCTCCCCCAACAATTGTGGCCGCTGCGGTGGCAGCCGCTGCAGCCTGGCCCACTCCTGGGAGGGGTGGGGGAGGACCGTGTGGGCCAAAGGCCGAGCCCCTCATCCTGGACGTGAAGGCCTGCCACTGTGGCCCCGCTGACCTCCCCCTGCCCCTCCCCGGGTCACTCCAGTTGCTGGAAGTTTCTTGCACATCCCTCACACTTGTGTTCATGATGCCCAGGGTGCCCTTTCTGGGTATTTTCTACTCTCAGTCTAGCTCAAATGGCCCCTCCTCCAGGAAGTCTTCCTCCCCACCCGCTTGTGGGTCAGATGCCCCCTCTCAGGTCACACAGCCTCTCTGGGTTTCCCCCACCCAGCCCTTCTTCCTTGAGTCTCCCCCAGCAGACTGGGTCTGAATCACCCTGCACAGGGCTGGGAAAGGAGGACCCTCTGCTGTGACAGTTTCAAGGACCCCTGCCCCACAATACACTGTAAGAGGGGCTCTTGCTTGCTGTGACACATGAACTGATTGCTAGGGGCAGATTCAGCCTCTTCTGGGTGGGGTCAGCTGGCGAGAAGGAAACTTGAGAGGCCCTTCAACGGGGAGCTCAGCACCCAGGGGAGTGATGGCCCCCACCTGATTCTGAGTGCCCTCTGGGCTCATGCCCTGCATCTCCAAGTTGTCTAGTCCTTTTACAACACTCTATTGGAAAGGCAATGCTTTCCCCATTTCAGAGATGAGGAGAGTGAGGGTCAGAGAGGCCCTAGGTCACTTGCCCAAGATCACCTAGCTCGGCTAGGACTTGTATCTGAGACCCCCGACCACATCCCTTGTGCTAGAGAAAGCCCCCCAAGTCCAAGATGAGAGATGCTCAGAGCTGGTGTCAGCCCAGAGTGGGCTGAATGCTGCCAAATGTCACACAGCAGGGAGGCAGAGTCCTGGGGGTGGGGGTGCCTGGCTCAGGGATGGTGCCCCACAAGCGCTGTCAGTCAGGGATGTGGGGGGGCCCCATAGGCCCCCTCATCGCCAGGCAACCTGAGTGGCCAGCGCGCCGGCGGCGGTTCCCATGGAGCGCATAGCTGCACACAAGAGGCCGGACGCCTTTCTCCGCTGGAGAAAGGGGCTTTGTTACCTTGCCCAAGCGGCCGGCGTGAGAGCCGCCCAGCGCTGGGAATCCTAACGGCCCGGCCGCCAAACAAAACCCACGGCCCCCGCCACCCCCTCCCACCGGCCCGCTGAGCCCCTGGGAAAGGGACTCTGTGTTCCCAGGAGGCTGCCATGGGGTTCCCAGGGCCCCCTCCCCACCCTGGGACCAGATAGGACCCTGACTCCCCAGCCCCTATCATGACCTCACCAGGACCCTGCCCCCAAAAAGGCTCTGTCAGGCCAGAAGGCCCCAGGCCTCGAGGGTTTAAACGGGGAGGAAGAGGTGCAAGGTCTTCTCTGACCTCCCGCCCCAGTCAAGAGTCCCTCACTCTCACCCCAAATGCCCAGTTAGTTCCTTGAATCTCCCAGCCCAAGGATGTTCCCCTGCTGCCCTTCCCTCTGCAGGGCCCACCCTCTGTCCCCATCCCGCCTGCCCCAACCCAACCGTCCTGCTGCAGCCTCAAGGGAGATTTTCAAAGTGGGGTGTGTCTTTATTATGTGTGTGTAGGAAGTCAATGCGCAACTAAGGCATATTAAGCACAAGGTTCCAGGCTCCAGAGACTCCTGCACTGTGGGGAGAGGGTCCCCTGCACAGACCCCGAAACTCAGTGCTGTTTCTTTTGAGATATACTCTCCAGGGCTCACCAACACCCACCCCAACTCCAGAATATCTTCAGCAATGACTGGGATGGGGAGAGGACGGCCCCTGAGCCAGGAGTCCTAATCCCGCACTCCACCTCTAGGGAAAATCTTCCTCCCAGGGAAGGGTCTGAGCCCAGTGTGGATGCCCCATGCAGAATCTGCCTTGGGGAGGTTTAGGGACAATAACACCCTATTAATGTGCTCCAATGTTTGGGCAAGAAGCATCACAGGGCACCAACCCCAAGCACTGGTGGCTGGTGTAGGGTCAGTGCACGCCATCCAGGACTCTGGAAGTTGGCTGGGGATGGGTCCCCACTGGACACTTCTAAAACTGTATGGGGAGAGTGGCTCCACCAGGCAAAGTGGCCTGGAAGGGGATGGACTGACGTCACCAGCCCCCAGATATTCCCAGTGGCTGGCCAGAGATGCAGTCTGGCGCCCATCGGATACTGCCACCAGCTGGACAAGACGGCACCCCTTAACCCGCCCGCCCAGGCCGCGGGGGCTCACCATCTCCTTGTGGCGCGAGATCCAGGTCTCCAGCAGCAGGTCGAGGCGCGCGCGATGAAACTTTTTGGTGGTCTTGACGGCGATGAAGACGTCGTGGGGTGCCAGCGGCTCGGCCGGGGGCCGCGGGTGACCTTCGGCGGGGCGGGGGGCGCCCCCGGG